TCGCCCGACCACGGCCATTTCTTTCTCCGATTTGCTGCCTGCGCCCTTGTATGGTAAGCTTCTAGCGGAAGACGGTAATTAGTTTAGTATCGAGCATCCCGCTACCACCCTCTTTACTCGATACGAGATGCAGTAGCATCGATAATGTCTGATACTTGCCCCAAAGTACGAGGAGACAACTCAAGTCGGGTCGAACCTTGCTGCGCGATCGGACCATCTCCAGCCAGCCGGATGATCCATCCAGAGAGCGACAGACACCGGACGCAGCAACCGCTGGCCGCATGCGGAGTGCAGCCGCTGTGGGTGATAGTTTGAAGTGTGCCTTGGATACGGAGTATATGGCGTACAGCAAGAACTCTATACGCATACTTACAGCCAAGTATAGGACTGAGTCTAGTGCAGCGGAAGGATTTCCCTCGCAAGCCATCTCAGCTAAGACCCTCCGTGTGTCCCAGCAACGGAACGTCCCAAACAGTCCAAAGAATCCCCGGGCATCCCGCGTGTTTTGACGAAGTTTCGCCGAACCGACATCAACCATAACTCGTGGTAATTATGGTGAACCAGCGACCAGGATGTGAATCCAGCAACAGCCGCTTTGCGATCGGGGAGGAATACTTGCTGTCGAAGGAACAATATTAATTAATTTACCCCCGTCACGTCACAGTGCAGTAGTCTCAGGACGGCACAATTCTAGCCTACTAAATGATAAGTTCGAAAGTTAATCCGCGTGCCTTGTATCCCGGTTGTGTTGTCTCTTATCGCTGGGACTGCGATATACTTTTTGCCGGTCGCGATAGATCTCCCGCCGCGTATAGATCTATCAACCCGCAGTTGTTGTGTGTAACCCGACCGTGAGATTGGGGAGGGGGAGAATACTACCGTTAGACAGGTACTATCTGCAATCTGCACATCCACCAAACTTTCCCAGAATGTAGGATGGATCCCTTGTTGGACAGATCATAAGCCCGTCATATTTCCTCCGCATTGCAGGTCTATTCAGGTCCTACAGTAGGATTCTTTGGGTGAATACTTCCGAATTCATACCCTTTCAGTCTCTCTCTTATCGTCTATCTTCAGCCTCGTGGCCTACCTTGATACCTATCGATATCTATCAATTCTTACATTCCTCCATCCATCCCAAATAATATGGACAAATATTAACTAACTTTCGATCCGATGAAACACCCCCCAAACAAACCCCCAAATAATGTACGACCATCACATCCCATCACAACAACCACCACAAACAATACTTGACAACTAATAGTAATAACCCGTACTGTAAGTACCAATACCAAGCAAGGCAAGCAAGCACACGACCACATACGACTTGCCCTCTTTTTTGCCTCCCCTTCCACTCTGCCGACCCATTCATCCACTCACCCACTCATTCATCCACCAGCCGACCCGACAAATTGAAACAAGTGGGAATCCGCCCGACGGGAGAAACACGCTCCACTGTAAGCAAGTAAGTACTAGGCAAGCAAGCAAGCAAGCAAAGCCGTTCCAGTTCGCAGCAGCGGCGGCAACAGCAGCAGGAGGTTTCTTAGTTCCCACAATTATAACCAAACCCAACCCTCTTTTTTTTTTTTCCTTTTTCGATTTTCTCTCATTGGGTGATGAGGTCTCCATCCACTCACGTTTTCTTATTGGGATGGGATGCAGACTGGAAACTGGAACTCCACGTGGCTTGTGAGAGATTTGATTAGTAGGTGTTGTTATTGTTATTGTGGGTTGGTTGGGTTTGCTTGGTAAGTGGTTATGGGCACGGCGTGTTGCTAACTTACTGACTGCACCCAGGTCTTCTATCTACACAGTACTGCTATCCAGATGCATACATACCAAGTGAGCTAGCTATACAAATACTACTTACTTCCTACATAGCTTAGCCCTTAAAATATATACCAATAGGAACCCACGGAAGTACTAACCAGCAAAATAAGCAACTAGCAGAAACATAGCAGTCAAACAAACAAAGGGGAAAAAGCAAAAACACACACACACTTACTTAGTAGGTAACTTCCACGGCCTTTTCGCTGCAAGAAATCCTCATTAAAGTAAAGACGGCCAGCCACACTTGTCAACTTGTGTCAACTAAGTAATTCTAGTTAAGTAAGAAGGTAACTAAATAGTAAACAAGGCTGGCCTCGCCTGGCCTGGAACTTTTTTTCCCTTTCCTTTCCTTTCCTTTTCCCTACTGCAGTCTGCAAGTAAGCTTTTGACGGACGACTCGCGTCCTTCCCCTCTTCTCCTCTTTTACTTACTACTTACTCTCTTCCCTTGTTTTGGTAGTTCGCTTCGACCTAACTAACTACATAGTAAATAGAATTAAACCTGCTGGAAGATGGTTATTCCTTGACATCTGTGTTTGAATAAGTGGGTATTTTCATGTATAATTGCTGGGTATTATTGAGTTAGATTCTCAGTAAACTAGTTCCGTTCATCCTTTGAACCGTGCTCTGCTTTGCTCGGCTCAACTCAGCTCAGCTCAGAAACAAGTCATGTCTTAATGCGATCTTCACCGTTTTCTTTCATATATAGTAACTTAGTAAGTGACTTGACTTGAGTAGGATATACCCGAGCCGCCGAGCGGGTGGGTTTATTTAATTAATATCGACAGACCAGGTTTTTGACCACTTTTCACATGTTTTTACTACTATACAAAGTTCAGTGCATCTATAATCCCTATAACATATAGCCTATATAGTATAGTATATACAATATAACAAATTATAATTCCTTCAAGGAATAAGTATTAGATTAAATAAGAATATGAACTAGCTAACCACCACCCAAATCCCGCTCCTTCCCATCTAACTATAACTAATCCAGAAACCCGACGGAGAAATTATTTGTCAACTTGCCCACCAACAGATCTAATTGTAAGCAATTAAAAGGTTCTGGGGTCTGGAACTGCGTAGAGTTGTTAGAGTTTGAGGGGTTTTTTCTTCTTTCTCTTTTTCATTGTTATTTATTTATCATTGTTATTATTTATTGCTATTATTTCGGGTCCTTTCCGTTGGTGGGAGAATATTATTTGACTGGAGCTGCTAGACTGACTAACTTTAGTGGAGTGGGAACGAAGGATGGATGGATGGATGGATGGAAGGAGAGGGGGGCGGCCAGTGCTTGGCCCGCCACTGGGCTTGGGTGGGTACGGACTGAGTAGGCTACTAGCCTACTAGGTACCAGGCTAGGTGGAGTATGTTTGGTAATTGGTTTATGTATTCATTTGGCTGGATTCTGTCTCTGTCATGATGGGGTTTGATGTTTGAGTTAGTTAGAACTTGGTGGTATTGTTGTTGGGGATAGGTAAGTAGGATATATTTGGTTAGGTTGCGTGTGGTGATTGTTGATGTAGGGTTGGGTTGTCTTTGTCTTGGTGGTAGTATTCATCTGCTGTGGCTTGGGGTGGGTGTATCATGGTTGGGGAAACTCAATGTGAGCAAGGGTTTAGCATTGTATGGGTGAAATATATATCATTTGCTGTGTTAGACATTGTCTTGAATAATATCGGCGTGAAACAGACCAAAATGAATGAGTTGAAGGAGAAGACGAGTCTAGGATATAGAACCGAGTACTATCTATGTGCGGAACACTAATTGCCAGCAACCCCATACAATTCCGTCCTGGGAACGTGTACAATGCTTCATGTCTGACAACGATATATACTGGACACAATGCGGAAACATATATACCACGGCAATCTGAGGTTGCGTGCAACACGAAGGCTGCAACAGATGACTGCGATAGATCCCTTCTTAGCATATTCGATAGAAGAGAAGGATACCCGGCATATCCTTCATTACGATATTCAAGCAGGTTGAAGAAAGATACTATTCCGAGACGATGTCAAATGGCAATCATTCTCGATTCGATAGGATAATGAATTAGATGATTCCATCTCTGCTTCCTGCCAGCGTACAACCACCACATGAAACTCTGCTATGCTGGTCAATGCACCAACCCATTGTCTGTGCACAATATACACGATCACACTTGAATGTAGAATTGCTGGCATACCATTCAACCAATTGAAATAGAAAGCCGGTATCATTATACACACTACCTTATACACAGCACTGAGGAATCACTACTGAACATATAGTTTCAAATCCTACTACCCCATGACCACTCCAGTAGCAGATATACCTCCAAATTAAAACCATAACCAATCTCCTACAATACTTACACCAGGAATAGCCTTATCCTTGGCAAATTAAACCTAATCCTACTCTCGGCCGAGTATTATTCCACAGGAATATCATGTCAAAGAGAGGGTATAAATCTTCATCCGCAGCATGTTAGCTCAGGGGAAGAGCGCCGGGCTCATAACCCGGAGGTCCCTGGATCGAAACCAGGACATGCTATATCTTCTTTTTTTGTTTATTTTTCTTATGCCCTTCTGTTTTTGTGAACTGGGCTGTTTGCGGATGACAATCTATATCTTTTTATTATGGGTAAATGGTATATTTGGTGTTTTGTGCACTTTATTCGTCTACTATAAAACCATAGTACCGAATCAATCCTCAATATAAATGTAAGCACAACCTAAACCACCTGTTTTTCAATATTGTTTTCAGTGAGGAGGTATATCGTATGTAGGTTAATACTACATATATTGTATCATACTATCATACCGTACATACCCTTGAGTCATGCATGGCCTAAAGGGATAACCGGGTATGACATGTATATTGAGATCCTGAGTCAGTTTGCTTCTGCAATTACTGCTGATTTTGTAAAGCACCTTGTAACTAGGGGAAGTTATACAATATTCAGTCAGTCAAATCCCAGATTTCAAATAAGTACTATGTAAATAAGGATATATTTAGAAGCAAGAAGAATTGGATTGGTAGCTGGTAGTACCTATTCAGATATCTAGATCTGCTCGGTCCCTGCCTTTCGGACAAGCTGTACCTCAAATTTCTCCCTTCTTGACATGCCATCTCCATTCAACATGCGTGATCTTGACCTTGTGGATTTACAAAGTGCCGCAGCTACAATCGTACCCTCCACGGCGGAATCACAGCGAAGATAGCGCCATCCACGTACACTGGTGTCTTCGACTTCTCAATTTTTCTCCGTTTTGTTGGCCTATGAGTGCCTTTCCCGTAGCCAGAAGAAGAAGCAGCTCCGGTGTCATCAGGGCTATGTCTCAGCACAACACTATCCTCGTTCTGCTCATTTACCCACGTCACCCCTGGCAAAGTAATGCATGGCCAAGCCTCACTTGCCACCACCTATGGAGAGTTTGTCTGTTAGCGTATGCTATGCGCTCAAGTATACAAGGTATATTGGGTTGGAGGTTTTGAGCGAGGGTCATACTTTGGCAGCCTTGTTCTTCTCATTATGTTGGATGGGGATGTTTTTGGATTGTGCCCGCTCGAAAATAGTAGCATACCAGTCCCCAGTGCTAGAAATAGCCAGCGCGCAGGTGTCTAGGCCACAGGACTTGAAGGCTAAGTAGAGAAGATAATCGCCGTCCTTTAGCACATGTGCAATGCTCTCTGAGGCGGGATAGGCGTAGGAGCAGAAGGCCCCGAGGATGCCACCTGTCAAAAGGTCAAATATGCCACAAACTAGATAAACAAGTTCCTTTGGCAGTAGGAAGGGAAGGCAGGGTGTAGATATAGGTTGAGGATGTACCTTGTCTCATCAAGTCAGGGTTCCCCAGAATGTTCATCACCGTCGCCTTAAGTGGCTGCATGCATGGCGTGAGGGATAGTTTAGGATGGACATATCCCACGCCAGCACCTACAGCATAGAGTCCATAGATTAGAGTGATGCATTCACCCCCGGTAACAGGCAGAGTCTCAAGCTTGCAGTCACTATAGAATGCAGCCCACTGGATAGTCGAGGAACCGGCCGGGCTCCAGTCCAAATCGCGAACCTGCTCATTGTGTCGCACATATAGGTTCCCCCCGGTGAATCGGGAAGGCAGGCGCACTACGAGCACGCCAAATTGATTCTCACTGTAGGGGATATTGATGTGCTTCTGGATGAAGCCGTTGGGGCTGGAGTAGACCTGTCCTCATGTTTAATAAGGTTTCAGCACCCCGGCTTTGCAAAAAGTAGGATCAAGAATGTACTTCCCACGTCTGGAAAAGGCAGCAGGGGCACAGTCAGTGACAAGCTGCTGCAAAGCTCCTGCACCAGAAGCGTCTACGTCATCATTTTCGCAGATAGGAAGAACCAGCATCTGCGGCACCGAGTCCCTTGAGGTCCAGAAGATTCTGACGGGCTGGGACTTGGTAGGGACGTGACCATATTCTTTGACGGAGGTATCGGTAGTGATAGGAATGGACCCGGAACATGAAAAGGATGAAGAACTGCCTTTGATCAATTCTCTGAGTGAGGAATAGTCGGAGTCAGGAGTGAGTTCTGGTGGCATTTTGAAGATTATAGAGCTCGTTCTGTGTAGGTAGGTGGCACTCTGAGACAGGAGTGGTGAAGAACAGGAGAATCGAGTATCAAGACATCGAGAACAGGCTCGATCTTTAGGAGTAGGTAAATGAGGGGGAGCGCCGAATAAGTAGTAACAGAGGTGGTGGAGGATCTGGTGCAATACATGGATGCAGTGAATGTTCCGGCAGTGAATACATGTAGATGACTTTCCTGACTTTGAAAACCTGTGTCATAGAATGGCAGTAGCTACGTCAAGCAGTAGAAGTGGATAAGGAATCATCGTGGCTAAGTTACGTTGTTGCAACAGCATGAGCCTACTTTTACTGTCTACTATGGGAAACAACTCTTGAACTTACAAGTCGATAGAGGTTCATCATCATCACGAGGTCAAATTAGAACAGATGAATCAATATATGTATTCCGAATTCAGTCATACCAGACAAAAAGGACATCATCCAATTCATACAAGAAGTCAGAAAACAATAGTCAACACCATATCTCAAAACTTCACCCCACGTATAAACAGGTATGGAAGGAGCCCATAGATTCTCCTTCAGCCAGTGACAGATATCCAGTCCCACACCGCGCCTCCTTTCCGGAAAACCCATACAAAAAAGAAAGAAGTCATAACATGCATGCGTGCAGATCAAATCATCATCGCCCCGTAATGTAGTCCTTGTTTTCGATCGTCACACTCTTGGTCATGTGGTTGACCTTGTAAACACCGACCAGTCGAGAGGCAAGTTCGAACTATTATTGAGAGTCAGTAACGCGCTGCTGTAGCATCTATGGCGAGTGTCTTACCATGTTGTTTCTCAGAGAAATAACAATAAACTGAGCATTCTTAGTTCTCTCCTTGATATAAGATGCCACAATCGAAACCTAGGCAGATTAGCAACGCACTTTCGGTAGCTGGGATAGAGTACTCACGTTCCGGAAGTCCAGGGCAGCATCGATTTCGTCCATCACGTACAAGGGAGTCGGCTTGTAGTGATGCAAGGCGAATACCAGCGCCAAACTGGAAAGTGTCTTCTCACCACCGGACAGATTACCAATGTTCTTCCAGCTCTTCTTCGGAGGCATGACGGAGAACAAGATACCCTCAGAGAACGGATCCAGAGAGTCGACCAATTCCAGCTCCGCGTTACCTCCCATCGTAATCATCTGGTACATCTCCTTCAGACGAAGCGAGATAATGCCGAAGCCTTCCATGAACCCGTTCAGACGAGCAGATCGGAGGCCATCAAGACGAGCCTTGGCACTGTCGCGCGACGCCAGGGCAGTGGTCAGATCGGCCGAACGTGCTTCGTGTTCAGCCGTTCTGCGCCTGTACTCCTCGATGACACTAAGGTCGACAGATGCATTCTGGCTCTTCTCCTCGAGGGCAGCAATGGCTGCTTTCAACGACTCCTTGTTCATCTCCATCAACTCATCTTGAGTGAACATCTGGAGCTCTGTGGCCTCCTGCTCTTCACCCAGATCGCTGACATTCTGCAACGAAAGCTTGGATAACTTTTCTTGCCAGTACCGCCCGCGCTTTTCGTTCTCGGCCAAGGCTTTCTGGTTCTCCTCAAGCTTATTGCGCATCTCGATCTCGGTGGCTCGGGACTCGTTCAATTCAGCAACCTTCTCATCTAACTCAGCCTTCACCTTGCCGAGGTCCTCTTTCTTTTCGTCGAGCGCCTGTCTTGTGTGAGCCTGCGAATCTGATATATTTCCATGTCGGACTTACCTCTTCCGCTTCCTCCACCTTCTGTTTCCACCCTGAGGCATCGTTGGCCTGGTTGGCAACATCCGCATTGAGCTTCTCGAGCTCCTCTGTCACATGCTCAAGCTCCTTCTCTGCGTCAGCACGGGAATTCTGGTGCTTGACGATGGCCTTCTCGTTCTTTGACTTTCCAACTTCTGCATTGGAAATCTCCTCTGCAAGAAGGCTGATCTGCTCCTTGAGACCGTCGACCTTGGCCTTCTGACCACGTAGTCTAACACCACCAACTTCCATAATCTTATTCTGGAGAGTCTGGATCTCTTCCTCGATGCCGCCCTTTTGTTCACGAAGGTCTTCGATTTCTTCCTCCAGAGCAGCAATCTGTTTTTCTAGGGCTGCAGCTTGGTTCGCGTCCGTCTTTGATGGCTTGTGCTCGGCGCTCAGTTCCTTGACGCGCCGCTGAGCATCTGCAAGACTTCTGTTGGCACTTTCGATCTCGATCATGATCTTCTGAATCTTGGTCTCCGCCCGTGGTATCTCCTCGGACCTCTCTCTGATCGCTGCCTCCATTTGCCGTTGCTTCTCTAGGAAGCGCTGGAACTTCCTCTCCATTTCTTCCAAATCCCCCTCGAGCTGAGCAACTTGCTCTCTGCTTGTCTCTGCCACTTGCTTGGAGGACATGCCGCCACGTGCTACGCGGGTACCACCACCACTCATAGTACCAGACATGTCAATGAGTTGACCATCAAGGGTAACAACCCTCCACCGTCTGGCTCCATAGGCAATGCGGTTGGCTTGCTCGAGGTCTTTAGCAACCAAGGTGTTCTGCATGACACTGTAAAATGCGGGTGCAAACTTGGAGTCTTTAGGCTTAACCAGGTCAAAAAGTCGAGGGACCTTCTCCGGAGTTGCGATGGAGGATAGATCCCGCCGTGGGAGTCGATCTAGAAGAATGAAATTGGCTCGGCCGAGATTGTTCTTACGCAGGTAGTCAATGCACTGCTGACCGACCTCAACCGTATCAACCACCATGTTGTCCAGCGCTGGACAGGCAGTCGAGATAGCGACATCATATTTCTCGTCGATAGTTCCGAGGTTGCCGAGCCGGCCGTGGAAGCCTTCAATACGGCCCGACTCCTTAAGACGCATAAGTCCAGAGAGAACGCTGCCGCGATTTTGAGTGCTTGCAAGACTGGCCCTTGCCTCATCTGCCTTCTGTCGAGCACTCGAGACATGGGCTCGCACTTCAGGTTCTCTGTGGGCATACTTCTTGAGGTCATGCTTGAGCTTCTCGACCTCTTGTTCAAGTGTCGACTTCTGCTCCTTGCGTTCCTCAAGCTCGGTCTCCTTGGTAGCCAAGCCCTCTTCGATCGAAGCCACCTTGGCCTGAGCCTCTTCCAACAGGACAGCACCCGCGTTGCTTCTCTCACGGATGATGTCAAGCTGACTCTGAGCCACAGCAACAGCCGAGAGCTTCTTGTTGATCTTCTCATCCCAAGGCTCCAACGACTTTTGCTTTGCTGTGATTTGGTCCGAGAGGCCCTGGGTTTTGCCTTTGAGGCTCTCACGGATCGAGTTCAATTCCTCCTCCTCCACCTTCATCTCCTTCTCAAGCTGTGTAGTCTCCTTAGATTTCCTTTCAATGTCGTCCGCATGCTTTTGCACCAAACTTTCACACTCAGAGGCAGCCAGTCGAGTACTCTGCATGGCCTTTTCCAGCTTCTTCTGCTTTCCTACCAGGAACTTCTTCTTCTCTTCAAACTTGACAGATTCCTTGTCGTACTTAGCCATTTCCTTGGCCAAGGCCTGCATCTCCTTTTCCATGCTCTCATATTCCCGCATGCCACGCTTGTACGCCTTCTCGAGCTCTTTGATACCGGACTCGTTGCCCTCGTGCTTCTCTAGCTCGAGGTTCAAAAGCTCTTGCATCTGCAGGATGGCTTCTTCGGTCACTCGGATGTTGTCCCCGCACTCATTGATGTAAATCTGGTAAAGTGCGGACTGTTTCTGAGCCAGCTCATTCTCGTCACGGATGAAGGCGAGTGCCTTGTCCTTTTTTTCTTCCAAAGCGTTCTTCTCCTTCTCTACATGCTGTACACGGTTGTTCTTTTCCATACAGACGTCGTTCAGCGTCTCCAGCTCAGCGGCTGCTTCGTCGATGGGCGTCTTGTATTTAGAGGTTCCGATAATATCCTCGAGGTACTCCAGAAGACCATCTTCATGCTCGTTGGCAGCCTTGGCCTTCATCTGTGCGATTGACTCGACTTCACCTTGGAGAATAAGGAAACGCTTATGGTCCAGGTCAATGCCGCGGTCGCGGAGCAGGGTGGTCACGGCGGTAAAGTTCGTCTCCTTGCCGTTCATGTAGTACTTGCTGCTGTTGTTTCTAAATGCCTTTCGGGAGATAATCAGTTGGGAATCTGGGACTACTTCATGCCCTCCGGTGGGCAAGTCAAGGACTTCCTGGAAGTGGACTTCGACTTCACAGTAGGGCAAGTTGGGGAAGTTGGCGGAATTGTGAATGAGAGCGGAAACCTTGCCCTGTCGCATCTTGCTGGCTCGGAAACCGAAGACAAAGAGCAACGCATCGATGACATTGGACTTTCCGGATCCGTTTGGTCCAACAACCGACGAGAAAGAGGCATGGAAGGGCCCAACGATCTGCTTCCCTGCGTAACTCTTGAAATTCATCAAAATTAGTGTAGTAATAATCAAGCGGCTCTTAGGTTCGGATGGCTCCTCGGGTGCTGAGGGGCCCAGCAACCGAGACTTCATCATGATATCCATCGGCTTTTCGAGAACGGTCGTATTGGGGTTGATCATGGCTATTTGGGGCTTTTCCTCGCTTTCGGACTTCGCGGGCGTCTGGTTCACAGCCGATTCAGTGATATCAGCGAGTGGGGGCACACTGCCCCTCTGCGATCGGGGTTGGGACGGGGGCGGCGAGACGGAGGGCTCTGGAGTTGGGAGTAAGGACATTTCCGGGTTGGGCGTGTGGGAGACACGACTCTTGCGGGGGTGAGCCATACTGGTTATTTTCTTTACCGATGCTGTCACCTGTGAGGCAGTCTCGGGCTCTTCCACTGACGCGACGCTGTCGCCTTCATTGTCGTTGGTATCTGTGAGTTGCGACGCCTCCGACAATTCTGCGGTTGCCGACCTGCGAGATCTCCGTGTAGTGCGCGTGGCCTTGGGTGTAGTCTGCTCAACTGTGGCTCGCCTGCGCGAGGACCTCTTTTCAATTCTGGGTTTCTTGGGAACAGGCGTGGCTTCGCCGCTATCGTCGTCGTCTTCGTCGTGCTGAGATGCCGTGGGGGTGACATTTCCGGGATCCTCCTCTTCGGAGGTTTCTTCGATAGCATAGCTCCGCCGGGCGGCGGCAGAGCGCCTAGTTGGGCGGCTTCTTGCGATGGATGACATTATTATGGATGAGTCGTCGTCGTCGCCAGAGACGGCTTCATCAAGGCGAATGTTGAAGCGGGCGCAGTTGCAAAGTTGCGGGCGGAAGTGGAAAGTGGGTTGTTTACATTGTGTCCCCATCGGGAATGGCGTTGTTTTCTGCCACAACATGTGCGTCTTTGGACTGTCTGCTTCACCGCCCACCTGCCACGGCGGCCCATACAATTCACCGCGAGTAAATAATCAACGCTGTATCGGAATTGTTCTACGGACATATCTCTGACAAAATGGCTCCCTGGGACGATTTCGACTCTATCTTCTACTTCAACAAGAACTTCACCTACGATGGCAAGGTCATTGAGCAGATCGTCGCCAACCGCCGTGCGCTTGAAAACCAACTGTTCGCCGACAGACTGCTAGGATTGCTCGGAGTTAAAGCAGGTATTCTCTCCCCTCATCCAGCTCCGAAGTGAAGGTCGTTGTTAATCAGGAGCAAACATCTAGTCACGCAACTTTACCCTCCCAGATCCAATGCAGACCTCCGGACTCTTATCGGACATATTTTTTCCTCCCCCATGGACATAGAGCACAAGCAAGCGTTGATCTACTATATCCTGAAAGATTGCCGTGCCGCCAGCGATGCGGCTTCCCAGTTCTCGCGCCGGTGTCATTTGCCTGAGAAGTACAGGCTGTTCATAGAAGGACTGTGGAACCTCGATAGGCTTGAGTTCAAGGTGCGTCTCTGCCTTGACGCAGTTTGCGACGATTACTGACCCAGAATGCGCCGATAGCGAGCCGTCGAATATCTGACCGAGCCTTCTATCATCCCAACTTTCCCAGATGAAATCCTCTATGTTCTCACTCTTCCCCGGCTTCCCAAGCACGATGACAGCCTCGTAATGGCATACTACCTTACTGTTTCCCCGCCTTTGGCATCGGAGAAGGTCCAGCGAGCCTTCTTCAAGACGCTCTGTCGCTCAAGCATTACGGAGGCCTTCTACTTCACCCGCAAGAACGACGACACTCTACGCCGAAGCTACCTTACGCAGCTCATTGAGTTCGTGCACACAACAGACGCTGGCCAACTTCGGAGCAGTCGCGCGCTGGAACTGATCGGCCTTCCATTCGACGATCAAGAAGAGGAATGGTTCGAGGATGCTCTGCTTCACGGTAGTGCAAAGGGTCTCCATGGCTCCAAGGACACAGTCATGATGCGCCGCCTTGCTAGTGGCAAGTTGAGTGGACTGGCCCAGGAGCTTGAGTCCCTCGGTGGGGAGAAGATTGACGGACTGAACTGGGATGTCCTGAGGCAGAGCGTCACACATACACAGACTTCTCACTCCAGCGGTGGACAAGCGTGACATGAACTTGATATTATGGGAAATGGCTCGGAGAATAGGAGTTGACATCGGATCCATTGTAATTTTATGAAGCATTGGCATTGAACAGGCGACGGTTGCTTTTGATGATTTAACAAGGCCGAAAATATAACCACCAGTATACCCCGACCTAGTGTCTTTCTTGGTATTATTTGCAGCCTGTAGAAGAGTAAATGAATAATTAGAATGTTACAGACAAATTGTATTCTCGGCTCTTGATAGCTCCGCGGGCAGGAACATGTGTAAATTACAATACCATGTCCATACACTATGCATGGATTTCCGGCCAATACTGCAGCCTGAGGCGGCGAAATGTACTGTCACCGGATCAATCCAACCACCACCGGCCATCCGCAGATTCTCTCTAGTTATACACCGCGACCAGCAGCGCGCGCTTCGCTTTCTGATATTACTTAAGAGGCTACTTATTCGTCACGTCCTTCTCTAACGATTGATCAAAAAGATAGCTCCAATTCGTGGGTTTCTGACTTTTGATTGAGCTCTTATCATCACCGTCAGACGGTCAGCAGGGGCCTCTCGTACTGTCCGACGCCGCAAAGGCCCAATACGACATGGTTGTCTGCACGTACTTTCAGCAGGGGCGGTGCAGATTTGGAGGTACGAAGATACCTTGCCCCAAAGATCAGATTTTTGCTCTTGTTCCAGTCTGGACAGTGGACTAACAATCATTCCAGACCGTTGTAAATTTGAGCACCCCAGCCAGCAGACATTGAGCTCCGGCAACCGTTTCGGGGCACTTGCTGGGGGAGGTTTCGGAGGTACGTTTAGTGTTTGCTGTTGGAGACAACACAACACAGCATGCTCTGTCTATTGAATGGGCTTTAAAGGCATTATGGCTGCCGACTTCCATCGTCTACTCTGAACTATATCATTATCGTCATTTGTTCTCTTCAAGAGCTGTCACCGCATTATACTTGTGTGACTTGGTTCACGATTTGTTGCTTCCACCATGTGTTGTGAGATTTCCTAACTTCAAACATAGGCCGTGGCGCCCAGACTCAGCAATCTGCAGAGTAAGTTGTTCTTCAGTCAAGCTATTTTACATGGGACCTATCTGACACCCCACAGCTATGGAATCACTACGGCGGACATCAAGGCCGATCTTACCGCCGGGAAAGGCCGGCCAGAATGGATTTTTTCTTGCTACGGTCCCGGCAGAAACGCCCCAAGGCAATTATTTGGAGGCGCTAATCGAGAGCGGAGTTTTGAAGAACTGCGACTGCGCCATTATGAGGCTGCCGCAGCAGGCAACGCCGACCAGGCAGTCCAAGAAGCTCAAGCTCTGTATGGGGAGGCCTTGAAGCAGATGGATGTCATCCTGAATGATCTAAACGGTGCTGTGAAGTATGTCGTCGACGGTATCAATGAGCATCCCAACAGAATTGATATCGTGGAGGGCAAGACCGGCCCTGCTTCCACCCCAGCACCTTCTGCTTTCGGTCAGCCCTCGCAACCTAGCCAACCTTCACCATTCGGGCAACCCGCTGCTCCCAGCTCAGCACCGGCTTTTGGTCAGCCTTCAGGATTAGGCAGTCAACCCTTTGGCAAGCCATCTGCGTTCGGTCAGCCGTCAGCCTTCGGGCAGCCCTCGGCCTTGGGCCAAACATCTGGCCTGGGGCAAGCACCTGGCTTCGGACAACCTAGTGCTTTAGGTCAAGGGTCTGCATTTGGACAGCCCTCAGGCTTGGGAGGAGGGCAATCGGCATTCGGTAAACCAGCCTTTGGCCAGCCTAGCTTTGGTCAGCCTTCTACTGGCCAGTCTTCGTTCGGCCAGCCATCATCCCTTGGAACATCGGCATTCGGGACACCTGCTGCGGCCTCCCCATTTAGTCAGATATCAGCCCCTAGCCAGCAACCAAGCGGCTTTGGTCAGTCCGCCGGACAAGCATCACCGTTCGCACAGGTCGGGAGTCAAACCCCCGCCGCGTCCTCTGGCTTCGGTCAACCCTCGACAACACAGCCTGCTGGTTTCGGTCAACCGTCACAGACAGCTTCGCCTTTTGGTCAACCACAACCACCACAACAACAACCGGCCTCAAACCCGTTTGGACAACCCTCCACGGCCGCAGCTCCGAGTCCCTTCGGGGCTCCAAGCCAACCAGCTGCACCTTCAGGATTTGGACAGCCCGCTAGCGGATTTGGACAGTTAGGCCAATCAGCGCCTGCTCCCGCTCTTGCATCCACGCCAACAGCTACCGCAGGAACCGGCCCTCCTGCCATCATCAAGATAGACAACCCCAATGAGCTACACCCCATCCCACCGCTGACAGGTCAGACCATCCGCGACCCTATGACCAAGAGGCTCTCTGCCTGGAAGGGGCAACCGGTCAAGTACATCAACAACGAACCCTGCTATCTACATCCGCAGGATCGTCAGACCTACGTCCGCATCTTCTTTCCAGATGGACCCCCTGACGCAGCCAGCTTACGGGACGCACATGCCAAAGATGAGGAGTATACAGCTGAGGTCACCGCGCAGTACGAGTTCTTCGTGCAAAACGGATGCTTCAAGGACGGGGTGATTCCAAGCGTGCCCCCGAAGACAGAATGGGTGAGCTTCGACTTTTAGCCAAATCAGGCTCTTGGACTTTCTTTTACATGGTTTACTTGGGCATTGTATTATATAGATCATTAGCATTATTAACGGACGGAATGGGCGTCCAGGCGGGAAATTCTCAAACGGAACAACGGAAGCAGTTGAATCACTGCTAGATTTGATACCATTACACTACACTACAATCCGTACAATCATCCACTTCGATAAGAGAAATAGTTTACTGCTTTTTGAACTTTTTCATTTTCAGGCCAGGAACTGGCGGGTATCGACGAATGCCTAGCACGGCCGCAGCAGCACCACAAAACATAACCTCATCGTCCGCGCCACCCCTGTCACGAACCCAAACCGTATCCAGTAAAGGAAGAGGTAGGGATTTGTTTAAGCAGCAATGGTGACCTCAACCTCAACACCAGCCTCGATGTTGATGATGATCTGCTTGACGGTCTCGGTGGGGGCGAGGAGGCTGAACACATATATTAGCTTCCATCTTCCTTTCCATTCTCACACTCATCATAACATATGAGTTAGAGATATTGGGGCAGGGGGAAACTCACTCGATGAGACGCTTGTGGATGCGCATCTCGTACTTGTCCCAGGTCTTGGAACCCTCACCGTTGGGGGTCTTACGGGTGGAGATGTGAAGGGTCTTGGTGGGAAGACGGACGGGACCCTTGACCTGGAGGGACTTGGAGCGAGCACGGTCGATCAGCTCCGAGCACACCTTCTCGAGGGAAGCGACCTTGCGAGAGGTGAGGGTGATACGGATCTTGTGGACCTTCTATATTCCCATCAAAAAAGAGATGTTGTTAGTGATTTGTCGTCGCATAGATTGATTGATTGATTGATTGATTGATTGATTTGATACATATATCAACCCATCTCCCAATGGCATTGCAATGAAAGACATGTTATACATGTATCATGATGATGGTGGTAGACGTACAGGGCCCTCGCCGAAATCCTTCTCAGGCTTCTGGAAAGACATCTTGAATTGAAGTTTTGAGACGGTGGGGTGACCGGTGGGATTTGAGATGCTGTTGAACCTGGAAGTTAGTTGTCGTCGACGAGAGACAAGAGAGAAAAGGAGCGAAGGAGGGGGAAGGGCATACCGCAAGGGAGGCTGGACTGCCAATCAAGACCTGAACTATCAGGGTTCGGTAAGGTGATGATGGCCGTTGAGGAGAGAGTCTGGATGGTTTGCCGGGCGGAATAACAATTATCGTGATTCTGTCTTTTTTTTTTGTTCAATTTTTATTAATCCGTTCTTCTTGCTTGTGCGGGTGGAGGGCTTGGCGCTCGGCTAAGTAGCTGGTTCGGGAGCTAGTGGCTGGTTTGTGGTTAGATCACTGGTTTGGAAAGGGAGGGCGGTGAGTCAGCGGGATTGGGGAGGCTCGGTTTGGATAGTTGTTTTAAGTATACTATGTTGGGACTAAGTAGATAGTCTGTACGCTGTAAATGGAGGGATATGGTGGTGAGGGAGGTGGTGGTAATGTTGAATGTGGCTGTCAAGTATTGGATTATGAAATCATTTTAATTGTACTAATAACTGTATTCGAAATTTCCTTCATATTTATCTAGTAGTAATGGATAGAAGAGTACAATAGCTAGTCAGGTTATAGTCCTCGACAGCACAACAAGGGTGACTAGGACAAAGATGATGATGGTGTAATTAGTCTAGTATGATTTGGCATGTGGTAGGGGTTTATTTCTGTTGGTATGATAGCATACCTTGATGGTGATTGCATACATGGGATAAATCATGATCGAGTATAACTTCCACATACACTGGGAATCTAAGGCACAAAAAGTACAAGCTTATTCCGATATTCATGTAATATATAACGCATTCTATAGACCAATAAATCACAGACCGGGGCATTAACTCATTAGGCACTGCACTGCGAGGCACTCAAAAGCCATCAGTCATATCCGGACCATCACCAGAAAGACTATATAGTGCTGTGGGGTAGGGGTGGGGTGGCGTAGCGTAGCGTAGAGTGGGACTATTTACAACAAGGATTTGGGGATAGTACATGTTTGATAAAGTGACAGAAGGGATGCATCTAGCTTGGTCGCTGACTTCGCATAGATAATCTTCAATGGCTTCAATGGTGATCCGAGAACACACCATTCTCCGCGCACGATTTCCTGCACTCCTCGAGAATGCGGACCTGCTTTGCGACGTCGCCGAGTTTGCCAATTACCTCTTTGTTACCATCGTAGAAGGTGAAGATGGTATAAGGGATGCCAGTGTCGCGGCAAAAGTCGAGCACCAGGCGCTGGGTCCGACGTAGATTGTGCCGCGGAATGCGGGGGTAAAGATGATGGATGGCTTGGAATTGAAGACCCCCGTGGAAGAAGTCGAGCCAGGTCGGGCAGTCAACATCCATGGTGGTGCGGAGCATTCGTTGCGGGAAAGACTCGTTGACTCCCATGTCGGAGGTGGACATGGCGAAGTGAGAAAGGGTGATCTGCACGTGCAGCGGAGAGGTAACCATGTGAGAGACGAAAAGGAAGGCAAGCCGGCTGCTCCAGTCCGGAATCGAGCGGTACATCACTCCATAGCCAAACCAGATCCAGAAAAAGACCTGACCGCCAATCTCAAACCACCGATGCCACCAGGCGGGACCTTTCTTCGGGGCTTGACCCGTGAAAAGGTATTCCCAGCTCAGACGATACAGGTTGAAACGTCCAAACAGGAGGATGGGGTAGTAGAGGTAGTTCTGAAAGCGCAAAAGGAAGTTTGCAGCAGCATCGAATTCCATGATGCGGTCGTAGTAGGTACTGCGAAGGCTGGTAAGGAAGCGATGGGAGACGGCGAAGAATGGCATGTGTTCGATATCGGGGTCGTGTTCGGGGGCGTTCGTCACGATATGGTGCACATTGTGGCTGCGTTTCCACCACCCAAGGCTAAGTCCTCCAAGATAGTCGGCGATAATGATACCAATCACCGTGTCGACGTGGAAGTTGTGCGTAATGCCCATATGGCCAGCATCATGGGCAGTAAACACAAGCTGATGCCAAAAGCATCCGAGGAAGAATCCTGAAGTCGCATACCATCCAATCTGGAGGAAATAGTAGGACAAGGCAGCGAAGAGTGTATACCGGCAGCATTCAATAAAGTACGAGAAGTAGCGACAGTCGTAGAGCCCCTCCGCACGGATCTGCCGGTCCAGATCACGATACCTCTGCTTGATCTTCTCCTGATTATCCAAATCTAGCGAGGGGTATTTGGCCGTATCGAAGACGAGTTCCTCCTGCGTGCGTGCATCGAGAAAGAAGGGTTTCGGTTGGAACTCTTCGCTTTTGGCGGCCGAGGCTGGGGTTGCGGGCGCAGATTTCCGCTGGCGAGCACCTGACGTGCTATCGACGGCATCAAAGATCGGGGATGGCGGCTGTGACGTTTCTTGACCGGAACTCTCCTGATCAGAGCTCTCTTCATCGGACAAACAATCCTCGGTATACGGACGAAACTTTCCGCCCTGGATGGGTGGCAGGAAGTTCACCCATGGGCCCTCAATGCGACCGATCTGAAAGGACAACATTCGCTGGCGCGCTTCCTTGGAGTGTAACCTGTAGCAGAGAAAAGTCGGAGTCAACGGTCTGTTCGCATCCGGGGCCACCCGGGGTTCATGAGGGCTACATACGCGTTGATCTCATCGGTGGCATCTTTCCCAACCATGTGCCTGATGGACTTGTCTCCTCCAGGATGGTAGGGAATCCACGCATCGACCCTGAGTACGCGACCGTCGAAGATGATGACATGCTTGCCTTCAGAAATGAGACCCTCGATATACCTTCGGGACAGAATGGTGTCCTTCCGGGCCGCGGAGGTAGAAGGAGCGGTGACCATGGTACAGTTGCAACAGGTACCTGTGTAATTCCAACCAAGGGATCGGGGACAGGGGATGGTTACAAAGAGGGTGAATGATCAGCCCAAGGGGGCATCGTATAGTGCAAAGACCTAGTAGGGGGGGAAGATTAGAGGGGGTGGTGGAATGAGAAGATACAATCCAGAGACCGAGAGAAAGAGACCAGATGGAGGTAGAAGGACAGGATGAAGATGGAACTACTACTAATAGAAAAAGCGGGGACGCGAAGGTGAAACGTGCCGGCGATCGTCACCCGATCCAGCGAGTGTCATTCCACCCACATTTCTGTCTCCGTCTCGCCCATTCATTCCCCGTTCCATCATCATCATCATCATCATCACCACCACCATCATCATCCACTGACTTACTATTATTACTTCCTAGCTTCAATCTCCAGCTGGCTTTCTTCCCCTTATTTTGTTCTTAGTTTATTTCTTCCCCTCCCTTTAATTCCCTTCCCACCGCCTCTTCTGCACTTCTCTTCCCCAGACTCCTCCTCTCCTTCCCTTCTCCTCCTTTACCCCCCCAAAACCCAAGCTCTGATCCGCGAGTCCCTCCGCCCCCCTCCACCGTCCGTCTTCTTCCCCCCAGTTCGGTTGTCAGCGTCGTATGATCCAACATGGCCGCCAACCCAGGAGAGGTATAGTCAACTCCCGGTGTGCGCGGCTACACCACCACTCTATCTAAATCGATAGGGGCAGAAAAGTAGTGTGGATGTTCTGACTCGGTCCGCCTGGTTCTTTCTGACAGGATTCCCTCTCTCCGCTGATCCAAAAATGGCTTGAGTGGGACCAAGTAAGTCCCCTGCATTTGTCAGATTCCGATCCGCTCAGCTCGGTTTTACCTCCCCTCCATAGTAATGGTGGTGGTGGAGGTGTTGTTGTTGCTCAATGCTCTTATTCATGCGCTTTCCTCTTCAACCTTCCAAAAACCTCACTGCTAATGCCCAACCCTTTTAGGATGCCTCTACTCGCGGGGAAATTGAGCGGTTGCGCGATGCAGGAGAGCTGGCGGAGTTGCAGCAGCGCCTGCAAAAGAGTACGTGTGGGCTCGAGACATGCTTCATCTGATCTTCTCGTACCGAATTTAGGCTCGTTACGCTCCCCTGCCTGTCATGTCTAATCCGCATAAACTGCAGGAATCCAATTTGGCACCGCTGGTCTCCGGGGTCGCATGGCAGCGGGCTTCTCTTGCATGAACTCTTTGACTGTTATTCAGGCATCGCAGGGTCTGGCGATGTACTTGAAGAAACACCATGGTGATATTGCCTCCTATGGCGTCGTCATTGGCCATGATGCTCGCTACAATTCCGCCAAGTTCGCCGCTCTGGCCGCAAATGCTTTCATCGCACAGAGGATCCCGGTCTGGTTCTACTCCGAGCCTTCTGTTACGCCGACGGTGCCTTTCGGTGTAACCCAACTGCATGCTGCTGCAGGCATCATGGTTACGGCAAGCCATGTAAGGCACCCCTGTCTGTCAATTCAAAAGATCATGTGGCTAATCCTGCCCTAGAATCCAGCACAAGATAATGGTAGGTTGCCATGGCTTGCTCCTCGACAGCCGGACCGTATCACTGACGGACGTGGCGAACAGGTTATAAAGTGTCTGGTTGCGCTCATCCAGCCTGTTTTGATTATCACTAACATGCTCCAGCTATTTCAAAAATGGCGCCCAGATCAATACCCCCATGGATGTGGAGATAGCTCGATCTATCGAGGAGAATTTGACACCCTGGCCCAACGCTTGGAAAGACTTGCAGCCCGGTGAATATTTGCGCCCCAAGGCGTACGACAATCTCCTGCCACACTACAACACAGCAGTATGGCAATACGCTGTGAGTCTAGATGCATTGTGCTTTGGTAACACAGGCTCACCCTTTTTGCAGACATACACAGTGCGGGAATGGAAGCAGCCACAGCCATTTGTGTACACTCCTCTGCATGGTGTAGGAGGCCTGGTATTCCCCAGCTTGTGCCGTTCCGTTGGTATCAAAGATTTCACTGTCGTCCCAGAACAAGAAGAACCGAACCCCGACTTTCCCACGGTAGCTTTTCCCAATCCCGAAGAGGTTGGAGCTTTGGATCTGGCAATGCGCACCGCGGATCGGGAGGGCAGAGAACTGATTATCGCACATGATCCGGATGCAGACCGCTTTGCGGCTGCTGAGAAGGTCAAGTACGTATCCGCTGACTTTTAACAAAGGACCCCACTAACCAACTGCAGTGGATCGTGGTTCACTTTCACTGGAAACCATTTGGGAGTACTGCTTGCATCGCACTTGTTTGATTCCTTGGAGACTATCGACAGCGACACACGAATCGCCGTGCTGAACTCGACCGTCTCGACGTGCATGTTGGAGAAAATGGCCAAGGCAAAGGGGATGCATTACGAGGAAGCATTGACAGGTTTCAAGTGGATGGGCAACATCGCGCGAAGGCTCGAAGAACTCGGCTACTATGTTCCATTCGCCTTTGAAGAGGCGCTTGGATACATGTTTCCGGAGGTGTGCTACGACAAGGACGGTATTTCCGCCGCTATGGTGTTCTTGCTAGCCCAAGCCAAATGGAATGCTCAAGGACTCACCCCATATACGAAGCTTCAGCAACTCTTCAAGGAACACGGGCACCACGAGACTCTCAACACCTACGTCCGATCGACGGACCCAGAGCTCACCATGGACCTATTCCGAAAGATCAGATCTGGACAGTTCGGCGCCGGAAAGTCCTTTGGCTCCTTCAACATCCAGCGATGGCGAGACCTGACGGAGGGTTACGACTCGGGAACCGAGGACCACACGCCCACACTTCCGGTTGATAAGAGCACCCAGATGCTGACACTATGGCTGGATCGGGAAGTCAGATTCACCATTCGTGCATCGGGCACGGAACCCAAAGTCAAAAGTACGTCGAAAATCATACAGAGCCATGTGCAGTGCTAATATCGATTCTAGTCTATATTGAAAGCAGCGGAGCATCGCAGGACCAAGCCGTCGAGGCTGTCCGTGACACATTCCTGACCGTTATCAAGGAATGGGTCCAGCCTTTTGCTCCAGCCATGACGTACAGCGAGCAACAGGTTACATCCTCGGGCATTAAGTTCCCGGTGAAATAAGCAGCGAGTAAGAGTGATGAGGTGCTTGGGCGAAATCTTTTATTATGTTCCATGAATGACTATAGAACACAGCTGGGGAGAGGGTAACCCCGGCCCTGTGTTGCCATTTCAGCAAGACTAGCATGAATACGACGCAATGAATCTCTACCGTGATAATTCGGGTCAGTGATTTGAAGTAAGGCTGTAGCAGTGGTATTTCAGAAGTACGTATTGGCAGGGAATGTAGGCTGCTAACTGTTATACTCCTTATACTAGACTAATTCCACCTGCAGTTATCCAACGACACAACCAAAGCACCCTCTCCCTCTAGATTTCTACAACTAGATGGTATATAACTTCAAACAACCGGCCGATCCACCCACCCACACCAATACCTAACCCAATACTTCGCCGCCAACAACCAATACCTAACCGCATCATGCCAAACCGCACCCAGCAGCGACGGATTTTGAAAATACTCACCAAACCAAACACTCCTCGCCCAATGCAACTCTCCCGCCCTAGCAACCCTATACTCCCACTCTTCCTCCGCAGCACCACCACCACCCACCCCGTCCCTCCCCACCAACTCCCCCATCAACCGCGCATGCATCGCCGCCTGATTCGTACTAAACGCAATATGCGGTCTCAAAAACACCGCCGCATCACCCACCAACCTCACCCTACCATCCAAAAACCACGTCTTCCCCATCGGCGGGTAATCCGTAATCAGATGCAGAAACGGCGCATCAATCATCCTCAGAAGTTCCATGTACGGCTCTGGGAAATCCAACACGTTTTTCGCCAGCGCCCGTTGCGAGTCCCAGATCCGCGCTGGCACTAGGCCCCGTGGCACGGTGGTGTGATGGCGCACGCCGTGGATGTCGGTCATGAGTGTGGGGAGGTCCTCCGCGGCTACGTTCTGGTACCAGCAGAGATTGAGGTAGCGGGTTCCGGGGGCGATGGAGCCGTTGGGTCCGGGGATGTGGTAGACGATTATGTGGGAGCCGTGGGTGGGGTGTTTCCGGATGTTGTAGGTCATGTTGGATGAGAAGAGGGAGAGGGTTGTGGGTGGCACTTGGCTTTCGTGGATGATGCCCCGCCAGGCGAGGTAGCCGGCGTATTTGCGGTGGTTTTCATTGTTGGTGGTGGCAGCAGATTGAGGGGATGGGGGTAGGAAGAGTTGGCGGACGATGGAGCGGGGACCGTCGGCGCCGAGGACTAGATCTGCTGCGTGTGTTGTTGTTGTTGTTATTTTCGTGTCATTGTTGCTGGTGGTATTCTCTGTGACGATGGCTAGCTTTCCTGTTGACGGGATCTCGGATATGTCGATGACTCGCTGGCCATAGTCGTATCGTGCGCGGGCTCGTGCCTCACTTGGGGATTCATCTGGGAAGGTAGGGAGGGGGTCTGGAGGGTTAGGGATGTAGTCACTGGCTAGACCGTCGTAGTTGGCACGAAGACGGAAATACAATGCATCCCAGGAGGTCATGGTGCGCTGGATGCGAAGGAAGGGCTGCGGTTGGCCTGCGTGGTCTACGGTTTGGAGCTGAGTGGCTGGGATTCCTAACGGAATGTGGGAGACGCGGTCGTAGCGCGAGAGGAAAGCTAGGACGTCGGGTCCTATGCTGACGCCGGCCATGTGGGAAGGCGGAGTGGGAGTGGGACTTTGTTCGAGGATTTGGATGGTGTGGCCTTGTTGGTGGAGGGTGATGGCTTGCATTAGAGCTGAGAGAGAGCCGCCGACCTGGTTTATTGGTTAGTTGGTTGGGAGCATGAATGTAAGAGGGAGGGGGGGTTCTGTTACGATGACTATCTTCAAAGGGGATGGGGACGCCATGGTGGGTTTGATAGTATGAGCTAAGTAAATCTTATGGTAGGAGGGAAAGGGGAGATGGGAATAGAAGAAGATGGAGAAGAGAAGAGAAGGTGAGAAGGGGGAGGTTAGGGTTCTTATACTACTGGCGAGGGGATCAGTTCTCTTACTATTACTGCTTCGCCCCCTCCTCAACCTCCATCTATTCATGTCGACTTGCATATTATGGCAGCACTAACAGACTTGCATCAGTGAGTTGCAACCAATCAGCCAATTTAAGTAGTATCTACTACTACCAGTAACCCTAGTTGGGGGCTGAGGTCTTGCTCCGCCCAATGCTATATAAAGAGGGTCCAGGACACCTGCTGAAATTGAGGTCTCCATCGTTTCTATTTCCCTCAACCTTTTTACTACTCCAATTCTCCCTTATACGTCGACTTTCGAAGTCCCCACAAGATTCTACAGCAATGTCTCGCTTCCCTGCCATCCCTCCAGACCAACAGACGGCCGAGCAGAGCCTGGTCGAGCCCAGTGCTCGCCGCATCTTCTCTCACCTGCCTCCCGAAGTACAATGGCAGGGTCCCTCAGGCGTCATTCTGGGCCCTTACTCTCCTCTGTAGTACGTACACATCCTCTCTTTTGACATCTCTTCATCGTACCCCCCCCCCCCCCCCAATCCAACTAACTAACCACAACCCGAAACCAGCTACACCCCCTCCATCATCAAGCCCTGGTTCTCTTTCGCCTACTCCATCGGGTCCCAACCCCACGTCACAGCGCGCGAGAAGGAGCTCGCCATCCTCGCTACTTTAGCTGAACACAAGGCGCCCTATGTTCAGTACGCCCATTCTCACAGTGCCCGCGCTGCAGGATTCTCCCATGAGCAGATCGCGCAGGCCCTGCAGGGACAACACCAGCAGCAGCCTCCTCCTGCCGGTTTATCTGAAGCTGAGCAGGCTGTCTATATGGCAGCCTTGGCGATGGCGCGGTCGAGGGGTCCTATCTCCACGGAGGATTTCGATGCAGCAGTGGCTGCCCTGGGCAGGGAGAAGGTGGCGGAGGTGGCTCATGTCGTAGGCGGTTATATGTATGTTTGCTTGCTGTCGAATTTGGCAAATGAGGCGGTTCCAAGCGGGGATGCGGTCGGTGAAAAAGATGGGACGGATGATGAGTAGAGAGTTTGTTGTTGATAGTGGGGGGTTGCGGGGGTTTTTTGTGTCTTTTGGTGTGTCAGTTGTTGTCTCGAAATTGCAGGACTGTTTCTTTTTTTTTCTTTGGGAGGTTGTTTGCGGTTTTCGAGAAGGACCTTGGATGTACCTTGTTTTGAGACAGAGAAAGGGAAGAAGATGGACTGGCGTTGCCCACAAAGACATAACACTTCTTAAAACATGTATTCACCTCATCATCATAAAACTCTCACTTTATATGAACCACCGCCCATTCTCGCGCAACCATCCTTCCCAACGCAGAAACTGGCAGCTCTCCCAAGATATCGAAGACAGGCAAATCGACCCCGACCTCTTTCAGAACCCAGTTTCGTAGATCTACCGCCGTTAAGGAGTCGGCTCCGGCACGATGGAATGGCTCCTCTACGTTCAACTTCGCCCGAGGCATCAAAACCATCTGACAGAACCGCTCGGCCAGGGCCTCCGTGGCGATGGTGGTCAGGACTTCCGTGGTGGTGGACTTGACAGTATCATTTGTCCCGGTAGCGACAGCGGATAACGCGCTGTGCAAATCGAGGTGATTTTCCGGTTGGTTATCGAGGGGGGTGGTGTTGCTATTCCGAGGTTGTTGTTGGCCATTATACATGTCATCGTCTGCATTTGTGGAAACAAAAATCTGCTTCCAGAATGGCTGGTCCAGTGTCACTGGGAATCGCATATTCAGCTGCTTAGGGTGCAGCGAGGGACGCATGAAACCCGTGGCCACTTGAGCGGGCAGTTCCTCAATAGGAAGAGTGGGGTTGCAGAAATGCTCGAACATGGCCAGAATATCGGTTTCCCGGAGCAAGTAGTGGAAATTAGTGGAGAGAAATCGATCGAAGAGTCCTGAAGCGTCCGTGAGGAGTCCTTTGGTCTCCAGGACGCCTAGGTCTAGAGATACTGCTCGCTCGCCCTGCGAGAGACGGTAACGTGCCAGCGCGTCCTGGTAGGAGTTTCCGGCTGCGTAGTTGATCTGGGTAGCCTGGCCCATCAGTCCAGTCAGAGAGGCAGCCAGGATGAAGAAGTCGAGACCACGAGGCAATAGAGTGTGCAAGTTCCAGGACCCGGAAGCTTTGGGTTGGACGGAAGATTGCCAGTCCGTGAAGGTCATGCGGTCGTACATCACGTCTCGCAACACTCCTGTCATCTGAATGCATCCCTTGATTGGGGGCATCGTCTGTCTGCACTCATCCAGTACTCGCTGTAGTGCTGTCATATCTATGATGTCGCAGGCTGGTGCACAGACTGTGGTGCCTCTGGCTTCTAACTCTTCAATCATCCTTCGGGCTGCTTCAGTACGCGGCCCGGAGCGTGATAGAAGAATCAAATATCGCGCACCGCGTCGCACCATCCATTGGGCTACACATCGGCCCAGGTCTCCCAAGCCCCCAGCAAGGAGGTAGGATGCATTTGGATCGAATGAATAAGCAGGCTGGCGAGGTTTGCGGATCTAGGATATCACGAATTAGTCTCCGTACTTGACAGAAAAGTAGACGAAGTACTAAAGAGGCATTACTTACCGAATCATCATCGAATTCTATCATAATTTGCTTCCTTCTCGTACTTCTCGATTGGTTCAGCAAGGTGGAGAGCTTGACAGAGTCAGAAGTAGTCTTTGCCGTTCTGATTGCTGTCGGCGCCACCACGGCTGATGGCATCCGCAGCCGCGGACGTTGACGATGCAAGAGCTGGGCCACGTCGACAGTATGCATGGACATGTTGGCTGGTATGCACAGCTTCTGAGGATTAGATAATACAAAGCGAGAATTGCCGTCAATAACACGAATGACTGCTCCAAAGGGTGCTATCTGATCGGCTATATCCAAGAGATCCGAGTCGACAAAGTCCAGCACGATATCTGCACCATCTCCAGGGCCAGAAAACCAGGGTTTCCGTAGAAACGAGGCATACGTGAACACGGACACGGATTCGTTATTCTTTGCCTGTTCCCAAATTTCATCTGTCTCACAGTTCGAGTCAGAGGGAACAGTAAGGAAAAGCTTAGAGAATCGGCCCGCCATCAGGTCTACCACCACTCTGGCAATGCCCGTGTGGGCTCCATGAATAACAACTGCTGGAGCACTTTCGGCAAACGACGACATCAAGCCGATAATATACTCCGCGGCGAGATATCTTTGGGGTAGAACAGCTGCCTCATTGAAGCTCAAAGAGCTGTCAATACGAGCCACCAGAGATTTGTGCGTGCGAACAGTGGAGGTCAGAGTGTCGTCGTCGTCATCAGCATTGCTGGTACTGCTGCTATAGTAGACACCGCAGACCCTGTCACCGACCAAGAACGGACTATTGCGGCCAACCTGGACAATGCGTCCCGCGCATTGTCGGATTCGGCCAAGCTGATCATCAAGTCGCACAGCATGCACTGCAATTTCCACCTCGTCCGGTTCAGGAGCCCGAGATAGTCTTGGATGCTCCACATCAATTTGAAGGGGGCATGCAATTTCAGCATTGTCACCAGAAGCAAGATCTTGCGGCCAACGTACCGCAAACGGCCGGATATCCCCGAGGCGCTCAGATGTTGTCTGGGAGCCGTTCAAAATCTCCTTGATATTACTCTTCAAGGGAAGGTCTTCCTGAATCCGACGGACATATACCTGGTTGTCTTTGATACTGTAGTCATCCCGGCAGTTGGGGGATGATCTTGTCATCATCAGCTGATTTGACGCAACTTTTAGGGTGGCCTCTAAAGAATCAAGGCCTTCAGACGACGCCATTGAAGCTGCATCCATGTGCAAGATCTGCAAGGGAATCTGTGGATTCTCAATGCGAAACACCTGAGCAAAGCCATCTATCATGCCGAAACTCGGATGGCGCTCATCATCACCGGTCAGCCAAAGTACCTTTCGTGCCCCGAGGAGTAGGGCCTTCAGACGCTCAAAGCTTTCTTCGCCGTGAAGTCGTCCCAGGATCGACGTTATGTTGTCTAGATCAAGTAGACTAATAATCACCGATCCTGGGGGAGTTGTCTGCGGGTACATCACGACACGGGGTTGGTACGCCGACTCCTCTGCAACGAGAATGTCCATCAAGCGGTTGGCCAAGTTGATCTGCAGCGGGGAGGAAGGCTCAACGACCAATGCAATGTCAACGTATGAAGAAGAGGAAGACGAAGACACGGTTGCAGTCTGCTCCTGGATCTCTCCAGCAGTGGCAACTATCACGCTCATCAATTGGCTTTCTTCGTCTGCATAGTCACGTAGGACTATTTCCGCGCCGACAAATCCACTAGCCCGCATGATCTGGTCCCATCTAGCTTCGCTGACGACCGGGCTCATCGGACGATCATCTGTTGCATCCGGCCACCAGCCCGGCAGCAAGCCAAACGAAAATCCTACTTCAATGTTATCTGGACGGGTCACCTCGTGCAGTATGAGCTGACCTCCTGGTCGAAGCAGACGGCGGAGGGCTTCCAAGGTTTTTTCCAGGTTTCTGGTCACATGTAGCGCATTAGAGGCCACGATAAGATCGTACGTGTTCTCCGTGAAACCCTGCTCGAGGGGATCCTGTTCCGCATCCAGAATTTGGAACGCAATGCGGCGGCCATGAGGATGGGATGCGAGTCGCTGCTGGGCCCTGTCAAAAAAAGCTGGGGAGATATCGGTGTATTGGTAAGATCTCAAACTTGTCCCCGATAAGCAGATCCCATTTAGCACATGGTCTGTGAAGGAGCCCGTGCCGGCGCCGACCTCCAGGATATCCATGTCAGGGCGATTGAAAGCCATTGTGGCAACATAGCGTTCGACCTTTTTCAAATAGATCGAGACAGAGGACTCATAGGCCTGATAGAAGTCATTGACTAGGTTACTCTCAAATAGCAGCTGTACAACATCAACTTCTCCATGAAGGACCCCAAGGGCGTGGTCGGCCACGGTCAGGTAGAAGTTTCCCAGACGGCCTTGTGCCGCAATTTGGTGGTGCAAATTTGCCTCTTCCTCTGGGTTCATGATACCCCGTGCCGTCAACTGATCCTTTTGGGCTAACTGCCATTTCATCCAGCCGACGTATCGCTGTAGATGCGGTTTGGCAGGGATTTTGGATGGATTTAGAGCGTCGCATATCTTCTGCATCTGAAGAGTAAGGTATTGGCGCACATTGCGGAAAAACTCTCTCGGGCCAGGGGGGTCAACGCCGCATTGGCCTTCTAGGTACTGTAGTATGTTTCCTGGTGTGCTAGCTGATATCGCCAGGTCCGTCTTCACTGTGTACCATGACTTGCCATCATCCCTTTGGTCGTTAAGCGGAGAAACTGCAGTTTGGGAATGGTCGACGACCTCGCTGTCTATGGAAGACACTGCCGTCGTCTCGAGTCGATCTAGGATCAGTTGCGGATTTTGGCCGTCCGCATAAGGGGATAGGACGTATCCATTATAAGACTTGTTTTGGGGACCATCGACCTCAATCTGCATGGCTGCGGAGACGACGTCCTGACCTCTGGCAACCATATCGGCCCATCCCTCCCCAGAGATCCATAACCGATCAATAGCCGAGATCACCTGCGTTGGCATGTCCTTCATAGTTCCTCGGTTCTGAGCTACCAAACTAAGCTGTAGAAATGCATCGAGTGATGCTGGGTGGATAGGATACTCGTCCATCCCTGGGGATGATAGGCACGGCTGTGCTAGATTGAGTGACGCCAGAGCGGTGCCAACTCCATCAGTCCGGATGCTCTTCATGCCTTGCGTTGAGGGGCCATAGTGGAAGCCGTGCTTTTTGAGGTGGTCGTAGAACTTGGAGGCTGGGACTTGGACAGTACACTCTGTGACTTGCTTGTCCCATTGGCGTTGATAGTGCCTCATCTCTGCTTCCTCTCCTTCCTCTCCTTTCTGGTCTTTCTGCTGACTTAGATGTACCTCGACTACCCCTTGGCAGTTTGTTTGCCAGGAATTTTCTTTAGTCATAGAGTACACGACAAAGTTCCACCGTGATACCCCATCCGCCTCCGGAGGCAGTGA